ACAGGCTGTCCCTAATTTTCTCTGAATTTTTTCCGGAGAATTGAAATGCACTACTAGTACCTGCACGTGTCCCAAAAAATCCCAAATTAGACCCAGGGCCCCTTTCGGCCAATATCGCAATTCCAGCACGGCGGCTCCACCGTGCTCCAGCGACGGCGCCGCAGCTTGTGGCGGCGATTCACCTCGGGTTGGCCGTTTTCGGCCACACTTGCATCGGTCCTTGCGATAAAACAACCCTAGGGCCCTCGGGGGGCCAAAAAATTACGAAAAACCGAAGCTTACCGGCGGCGGTGCTCTCGGGTGCGGCAGCTCTCTGGCGTGGTTTGTGTTTTGGTGATTTGGCTTCCATCAACCTGTAGAGAAAAGAATGGTAATTAAATGCCACAGAGAGAGAGAGAGAGAGAGAGAGAAGTCACCTGTAAAGAAGATCCTGAGATAAAGAAGTTTCTTCTGTCTGGGCCTCTTTATCACTCTGTAGGTTCTCTAGCTGCTGATCAATGGCAGCAGGCAGTAAATGAGGATGCGTTTTTAATATTTGTGCCAGAAGCTGGCCAACTGGAGACTCCAATTGAACAGGAGCAATTGGAACCAAATTATCATTAGAATTCCCTGACGCACTCACAGTCAAGCCTCTCGTACGGCATTTGGGCAGTCCGATTCCCGGCTTTGGAATGCAAAACGAAGGATATCTCTATAAAAGAAAAGATAATATGAGATAGAACAGATATAAGCTAAAGAAAGAAACTAACAATCATTTGGACTTCAGTATATATAAGCCTCAGTGCAAAACACAAGCTATATAAGCAGAAATACAGAAAAAGTTCACATACTTCTCCAAGATAACCTGAGCCCATATAAATTTATCATTTCCTATTTTTCCTTTTACAAAATGCAAAATTCAAGCCATGCCTAAATGTTACTAGTGTTTATTAAAAGAGCTTTTCGAGTCTTAAACATCCCTCTACTTGGAAAATTACTTAAGAATTTAAGGGTTCCATATTTTTGCTTTCCATTCTATATTTTTCTCAGCAGTCCAACATATATCAATGACAAAGTCAACTGTGTCAGAATATTAATTTTTTCCTTTTATAAAATGCAAAATGCCGGCAATAACTAATATGTTAATAGGGTTTATGGGAAAAAGTATTTGCAGTTTTAAAATCACATATATTTGGAAAACTAGTAAGAGTTGAAGAGTTCCATATTTTGCTTTCCCCTCTATACTCTTCTCAGCAGACAGCATCTCAACATACATAAATTAAAAAGTCAATACTGTAAGACAGAACTCCATCCAATGGATTAAAAATTTAAAAGATATAAGTCTTTGAGTAAATCTCAGGTGCAGAACTCTTCGGTAATTAGACTCTATCCTTGCAAGTCACATGAACAGAAGATGACATGCTAAATGTTCTTCCTGGACTCATATTCTGTAATTCTCATTGTAACGTGTATCTAAATCAAATCTTCGGATCATGCTGCATTTATCTGTTCTGTTCAACGGGGAAATTTTCAAGAATGACTCTAAGGAGTTCAGCGGTACATAGAGGAACAAGTTCCTCATGATATATTTTATCAGGGACCTTAAAAAATGTTCTGGAACCAAGCAATTTAATTATCAAAGAAGTATCTCGAAAGATAGCTTATATGATGCACCAACTAAATAATTATTGACCGTTTTGTTACATTCAAGCTACTCAAAACTTACCACTCCCTTCTAATCAATCACTGCATAGATTCACCAGTTTTAATGATGAACCAAGGGTATATTATCACCAATTCTACATGACCTGATGGTGCAGCCTAATTGATAATAAAATTTGTTGTTTTGGACATCTGGGTTGTGTGTTGTCAAAGAATTATTATTAATTATTATGAAATTTTATTTTTCTAGGTAGGCAAAGTAGAACATTATTGTAGGAAGTTTTATGATCAGAAAGTTAGCTTTTTGTTTCCTCTTTGTAAGTTCTGATCTGTTTTTAGAAAAAAAATTAAGAGAGAGAGAGAGAGAGTTAAGTTTCTAAAATCTTTTGTCCTTTTTCCTTATACCTATTGTTCTTCGTTATTTTCTTCCACTTCTCCTAATCCCTCTTCTCCTAATCATAAATATAACGTTACTACTGCAGTAAGATCTGAGGAAATCGAGTCAGTTATTGCTAATTCCATCCATGTACGTCTTAGTCAATATGAAATTGTTTAAGGAAAAAAGAAAAGAAAAAAAAAAGAAAAAAGACTAAACAGGAGCCTTTTTTCCTATCAAGTTTCACTTCATTTTCCCACTATCCTATATTTTACCCTAAAAAAGAAATGCAAAAATCATATTTCTTACCAAATGCTCCCAACTCATTCATTTAAACAAAAAAAAAAAGAAAACCAAAAAGAAACGTTATGATTCCAACTTAATCAGTCCCTATAATCAAAAATTCCCCAGGAAATTATCAAATTATAAACGAAGAAAACATTAAAAAAAAAAAGAAAAAGAAAAGCAAGGAATCATATCTACAACACAAAAACAAGAAGCGCGGCACCACGAAATGCACAGACAGACTAAATTACACATCTATATCTGTACACAAGAGAGAAGGAAGGAGAAAGAGAAGGTACCTTGGAGAATTGAGGAGAAGAAGAGAAAAAAGCGGAGGAGTAATGAGAGACAGAGTGGACATGTTTGAGACAGAAACCTCCACCAGACGATGGAACTGCCACCGATACATCGCTTATAACTCCAGTTATCTGCATTATTTTTCCTCTGTATGTAATTCAATTGGTAGTTGAAACAGAGCAGAGGAAGATGGTGGTGGAAAAGAGACGAGGAGTGGCTGTTGAAGCAGAGGAGAACCTCGTTTTGTTTTATTTTATTTTATTATTATCTGGATATTTATATTAATATATAAATTATTTTTATATGTAAAATAATGTGAGTTTAATATGCACAAATAATTAGTTTATTTATAAAAAATAACAACTTTTGGCATAAATTTATGAATTTTAAGTTTATTAATTTAACCGATTAATATTTAAATACAATATGTTTATGGTAAGAAATAAAAAATTCTTAAAATTAATTGTTTTTGATAATTTTGAAAATATATTCTTTTTTCTTAGCCTTTTTCATTTAGAAGTAAAGGAAAAGTATTATTTACAATAATTAATGTAGATAATTAAAAATAGAGAGTAGATATGATTGCCCATTGAATTTACCCTCATAAAAGAATTTATTTTAATCATATTGAAATTAATATTTAGATAATTCACAATTAGTTGACATTCATAGATGTTTCTTTTTTGAAAGGCTAAAGTATAAGTAGTTAAATTTCAAATAATTATTTAAAAAAATGAATTTAAAATAGTAAATAAATAGCATAATAAGAAATTAAGAACTTATACTTATATTAAGATAATAAACATTGAATTTCCAAATAATTGAGTAAATTTTTTTAAAAAAATGTATTATTTTTTAGGGAAAAAAGTATTATCTTAATTTTATTTAAAATTATCAAAAGGCTAATTTTTTAATTTTCTTTTAACTTAGTATTAAACTATCATTTTCATTCAAATATCTATTATATTTGCATTATATGTAACTAAAGTTTGAACCAAACTCAAATTCATCACTAATTGAACATAAAATATATAAGGTTATATTGATAAAGTATATATAAAATATTAATATTTTAAAAACAATAATGCAAGCAAAGCACCATCATTTAACTTTTTCCTACAGAAAAAGAGTATTAGTTTCCACACATCAATATGTACCAAAGATAACATATAATCATAATGATTCAATCCGAGTTACAGAGTCTCACATACCATATTTGATACAAATAAGATTTGATTTGAACACTGTGAATAATACCCTCTTTTCTTAAACATAAAAGGGCCAGGACAGAACTTCACACTTTTACATACCCAATTACCATACCTTCAACTATCATCAACTGTAAACACGAGTTGAATCAGGATTTAACTATGATAGGACAACCAGATCCCTAAAACTAATCAAGGTCAGCTACATTTTTAACTTTTTTTGTTTTTTCAGGTTATCAAACTAAATGCTATGCAAAATAGGAACTTCCTGTTGCTAACTTGTTAGGTTATGCTCCCAGAACCTCATAATTAAACAGGTCAAGATACCCTACTGACCACTCTGTGCCGTCTCCGTTTGTCCAGTCTGTTGTGCTTCATTGCTCGAATGTTGGTCATTCCTGCCAGATCTAATGTCTTCATGTCCCGGAATTTCCCCAAGTCTTGCCTGAAAGAACCCCAGATAATTCAGCATCAGCACAAAATAATCCATTTATAATCCGGTGAAAGAACAACATCACTGCTAACTCAAAGACTGTTTTTAAACCATTAAATAATTCATTTATTAAATATGATATCTGATTTACGAGCTAAATTCTACTTCACCATTCACAAGATTCACTAACACCAGCATTTTCCACTCAAAACAAATTGTGCTTATCTGCTATGTAAATTTTTTCCTTTTCTTTTTGGTGAGGATATCTGATATATAAATTAGTCTTAAAGTGGATACTGAAGTGGGAGGGGAAAGGGGGACACTGCAATCGCAATCATTTTTATAACTCAATTAAAGACCTTCACTTTAAAAATCATGGCATCAATCTATTGCTAGCAAGTAACAACAGCTAGCAATTTTCAGCTAGTAAAACACAACTAGAAGATTACCTTGAGAGAGTTATTCTCTGCAACAAGCTGCTCATATTCACACTTGATCCTATTCACTTCTGCTCTTAGATTGCCATTTTCCTCTTTCAGGGATTCTGCTCTTTGTGCCAGCTCATCACATTCAGCCTGACTCAACAGCAAGCAGGTACATTAAAGAATTTATATGAGCATGATACCTATACAAAGACAGACAGGATTAAAATATTCATATCGAGGCTGGATTACCTGCTTGCGTAACCTGGATCTGCGAGCAGACTCTCTATTTGACTGCTTTCTTCTCTGTCGTTTTAGCTCTCTTTCATCCTAATCCATGAACCATTAATTTTTTAGATACGAAGGACAACTTGATAAAAACAATGTTAGAACATGAAATAATATTAGACTTCTAAAAAAAAATTTATATTCCCACATCTCAACTTCTCTTCACCATGTTAAGCGTAAAACTATCATAAGGCAAGATGCCTCCTGTACCATTACAATTATTGTCTCTATTATTAAATATTTGGAAGAAAACAAAACTTCTATCTCCATACGGATTGGCAATAAATATTGCCCAGATAAAAGCATTACTGAAGCAAGATGCCTCCTGTACCATCAAAATTATTGTCTCTATTATCAAATAATTGGAAGAAAACAAAACTTCTATCCCAATATAGATTGGCAATTAATATAAAAGCACTACTGAAACATTCTTGGCATATAAATAATGGG